CATGTAGTAACATGTGGTTTGGAAGTATACTGGTTAAAGGATCAGCCACTCCCAGCAAAGAATGTTTGGTGTTTGGATGTGTTTTGTTTCGTCTCTTTGGACTAGCAACGAGCTTGAGCTGCTCTCTGTAGTGCCATCTTGTGGTGATTGTGCTATAAAACACTACTTCATCTATCTCAAAGGAGTAGTATGAAGCTGCAGACTCGGAGACCTACATCTACAGTCCCCCTGCACCCAGAGTCCCGCATTCTCAGACCCCTCGTTTTTCGAGTCAGCGCCTAGCTCCTATCAAATTGTATCGGATAAACAGAACTTAAGCCAAAACGTGAGTATAGGCTGTCTTCAATTTTATTTAGAGAATCGTAATAGCTCGTTTGATTTATTTTTTAATAAAACTAATTTAGCTAATCGATACAACATAAGAATAGTCCATTTAATATTTGTTTGTAACAAGATTTGAGCCGTTATGTTTTCGCCCTCTTTACCCCGAAAATATTTTGATAGCTAACGTTAGCCTTTAACCTCGGACTTTTTTATATGTCATAAATGCTGCAGTTATTTTTACTGCCCATTTTGTGCCCCCATATATCTCAAACCCACAAAGTTGTCCAAAGTTCAAAAACATCTCAAGGGACACTTCTACAGTCAGAGCAGTGCAACATGAATTTGAAATTTTTTTTCTTTCTTTTTGAAAGATCATAAGACATGTGCTATCGTATCCAGTACACCATACATCGATGGAGTTGCCCCTTCCGATTCCAGCAACGTATCATTTTATGATTATGCAAAGCGACTTATAAATGAGTTTTTTTTAATGCAATTAAACCTAAAGTCACAAACACAGTTTGTTCTTCCTTTTTTCTTTACAGTAAGATGATGTTTAGGTGATCATTAAATAAAGTAGCCTACTGAATTGTTTATTATTGGTGTTTTGTCTATTCTGATTTATTTTGCTTCGCATTCAAAATATCAAAAAACAGATTTTGTTATGTTAGCATGGTAATGTTAATTAGACCATTATAGGTTGAACTGAAAGAAAAAGTGGAATTTGAATTTTGAATAAAAAAAATATATATATATAAAAAAACCAAACATTGTAGCAATAAAATATCACATAGACTATTTTTCAGAAGATAGTTCAATCTGTAATTGTATCCCTTCCATCAGTAACAATGAGTTTTTTTGGCACCTGCATTAAGCAGGGAACGCAAATATTTATTGAATAATTTATTTGAAGACCGTATATTGCATCCTATTGTTTTTAATTGCATTTGGATAAGCGTGCACTGTACTCTGTGTGCGGGTGTTATTCGATCTTTTGAACAGCAGGAGGCGCTGTGTTCGAAAAATGAGGGGTCTGAGAATGCGGGACTCTCGGTGGGGGACTGTAGATGCAGGCTCCGAGTCTGCAGCTTCATAATATTGTCTCAAAGGGGCAAAACACACCCATTTAAAACATACATACAAATATACATTTGTTATATAATAAATAAATAATAAATTATAATAAATATAATATCATTATAATAAATAATTATTTATTTTATCATGTTATTTATATATGATTTATTTAATTATTATATTATCAGTAAAAGTACACACCCTTATCTTAAGACCGGAAGATTGGACTGTCTTTGTAAACTAGTATTTGTATTTTATCGTATTTGTGCTCTGTACGTTCCAATGTACAAATTATTGTCACAAATAAAAACAAAAATAAGCTCAAATATAAAATGGATTTTGGAGTTCAAATGATGTAATGTGGTCATTACTTTAGTGTGGTGGATTTTGGACTGAAACAATGTTAAAAATGCAGTTATTCTTTAGCCTTGTCAGAGGGAGAACATGTCTGTCGATCAGCAAATGCACTGCAAGCTCAGGCCTCACGCTCAAGTATAACATCATTCAGATCAAATATTCCATATGAATTTATAGGATATTAGTCAGCCCTGCATTACATGACATACAATGCAAAGTGCAACAGGGTAGACTTAAACAGGGTGGCCATTAAGCTTTACGTTATTGAAAGAGACTACTAAAAGGATAAAAAGTGATAAAAAGTTTATTTTTCTTTTTTTTTGGAGTTGCTTTCCCTCTGAGGAAATGATGTCATTTCTAGCCAGATTAAAGGCATAATAGTTAAGATTTTAAAAGGCAATTAGCACCAATGTAACAGGGTGGACTGGAGTTTAAAAGACAAACTAAGGTAACTGTTTTACACATTAAAAAATATATATGTCACAATAAGTAAATGTATATATACTAAAACTCAAAATTCTAATTTAGAAATATGTATGTAACCTTTATTACAAAGTGAAGTTAAGAAAATATGATTGGGGTATGGGAATTTGTCAAGTGCAAAATGATATCTATTTATTTGTCATTGTTCTTCAATCATTATGGTTTACATTTATGCATGGAAAACCACGTGGCATTAAAATTGATAAACATTTTAAGCCAAATATTCAGTATTGTTTCATGGTGGATATTGAATATTAAACTGTCAAACTGTTAGAATGAGCAGTTTATTGTCTACCAGCACTCTTGGAATGTTTTCTTGTCCAATAGAAAAAGATAGACACATGCTAATGCTCTATAAAATAAAATTATATTGTTAAACCAGTAAATGTTTAATGAGTCCCAGGCATAGATGACACTAGGGGCCGCTAAATACTATTGTAAAATATTCAACATAATAAACCTCTCAAAAGTAGCGTGTGGCCGCTAGATGGCAATACTTCCCCACTAAACCATTTTTAAATAACAATAGACTTAACGAAAACGTGATTTCTATTTTCAAATGACTGCGATGCATACGTCTCTGTGCAAAATAGCAAGAAATTGGACAAAATAGCAAGGAATTGTACAATCATATCTAGCCTCTTTTATGCAATGTCAGATAGTGGCTGTAGGTTGTATAGAGGAGCACCCTTCTGCCACCCCAAACTCCACAAAATCACACATAGCGATGAACGGATGAGACTGAAGTTATCTTACACAAAATTATGCTTTTATATAGTCTTACACACTTATCATCATGATTGCTATCTTACCAGAGATGGAGAAAAATCCTAAGTAAACAACGTGTCCCTGTCACCGAAAAAGTTGGTAGCCTACTCAAACCGCATCCTTCCACGTTTTCTATTTATTTTTACACGCATGCGCACTTGCGCATCACTTATGTGCATCTGCTTATGTGCAAAACAGGCCTTACCTGATCTCAGCTAACTTTGCAGAAATGTGCACACTTTCTCTGAACATTTGTCTCATTTGGAAGTTGAAGTTAGAAGCATGTATGCTAATTTTCCAGTGATTTATGTGTTGTTTGAAGTATTGCCTGAGTGTGTGTGATATTGCAGGGCCTTGTATTTGACTGGTGTTGTTTACTGTGCTGTCCCTGACGAGTGGATTCTGAGAAGCTGCCTCATATAAACATAAATAACCTGCCTTGCCTCTGCCACCGGCGCAAAACAAGCAGCTTCAATCAGCACTATCAGTAATCTGAACAGATCATAGGCTACCTGTAAATTACTTATAGCAGTGTGTCTTTTGCAAGGTCTTCATTGGCCCTCAGTCATAGAAGTCAATGAAAGAAAGTGAAACATTTTCTGGAGGTGAAGAGTTTCATTCCCGATTTATTTAAATTTTATTCTGTCGTTATCAGAGCGTCTTTTTTCATGTGCAATGACTTTTCTTTGCATCTGTCCTACTTTTCTCATAGTCAAGCACTTGGAAGACATCACATGGAGCTGTAATTAGTGTTTTCTCTGTTGTCCCGTATGTCTCAGACAGATAGCCATGACCTGGAGGTGCTGCGGCGCTGGCACAAATGCGACCGTGAAACTGAACGCTATTTTTAGGTGGTGCAGATGCTTCACACAATGGGAGCCTGAACACTTATTATGCTCCACAAAGACTTTCCCCCTCCCTCATTCACTAAAATTACTTGATGTGATTCTTTTGTCTGCCTTCCAAGTCTATAACAGAGGATGGATAACAGACAGCATGAGAAAATAAGACGTCAACATTATCATCCTTGGCAGGAGAAAAACAACAATGGAAAATTCGAAGTGGGCATGCAGGATCACACATTATAATTGTGATGTTTTTTACACTTTATATTTCACAAGCATGCAGGATTAAAAGTAGGATAATCTTTCATATATATATATATATGTATACACAGTATATACCCAGACAGCAAAAATCATGCGGGCCAGATCTGGCCCAGAACCTTCAGAAGTTCTGGGCCAGATCTGTAAAACGGACCCGGGCCGGTGTCCTTTAGCACAACGGGCCAATGCCGGTGTGGATCCGGTTTTCACATCTGGGCCGGCACTGGGCCGGCACTGGCCCAGCTCCAGAACAGATGAGAATTATTTTAGTTATTTGGCCCAAAGGTGGGCCAGATCTGGACCAGTTCCATACTGGATCCGGGCCAGATCTGGACAGGCACTGGGCCATCTCCATTTATTAGTTCTGGCCCGGAATCACACCACCTCTGGCATCTGTCATAACCTTGATCTATACCACAAAACAAACCATATACAAAAATACAGATTTTTTTCAGTTAAAGGGGTAGTTTAGTTTGTTTTAGATGTTGTGCATGATTCAGCTTGTACTATGGGTCCTAGTAATAGATATCAGTGAAGGTATACCATTTCTGTCTGAGAAGTGTAACAAATAATGACTTGTATATTTTCAAAGTACACTAAAGCTGATGATTCACAGAGCAACTTTTAGAGCAATTGTACTGGGCAATGTTGTCGTCAATTGTAATGAGTAAATATTACTACCGTAATCCCCTTCCCCCACTATCTTACGATTTCTTGTTTTACTTGCGTTTTCTTTTTCCTAGCATTTTAAACCCGATTACTTTTCTTTCTTGGAGCACAAAGCATGGATAGTCAAAGCTGTTACACAGACTGTTTCTATTTGTCCTGCATAGAATTTCAACAAAGAAAGTGATAGAACAGATGAGTGACACATTTAAATTTTTATTTAAAATACACATTTTAAAATTTTATTTTAAAATGTCTAAAATAAAAAAGACAGGACAGAAACTTAAAACAAAGTAGATAATTGCCAAACTAAAAATCAGTCTAATAAACACATTTCTACAGATAATTTCTGTCTTGAACAACTGTTGGAACAACCGTCACATAACGTCCAACAAACCATCATGGAAGAGTGTGGGATGGCTGATGCGTTCATTCCTGCAAAGTATAAAAAGAGTGTAAGAACTCAATTGATAATGGCAATCACAAATTACATGAAAATCCACTGAGATTGGTAATATTAAAGGGGATTAGGCTGGAAGATTTGACCTAAAATCAAAATCCAGATTAAGAGAACATTTTACCACAATTACAACTAATGAATGATTATCTTGTACCGCAAACATGCTTAACTGTTGTAGTTGGGGTGTTTTTTGTAGTTAAAGGACAACTCCGGCGCAAAATGAACCTTTGGTCTAATTACACATTGCTACCTAGTCAACCGTTATCTGAGATTTGTTTTCATGATTGCCGAATGTAAATAGTTTTATCTCTAAAAACAGTTTAGCCTATAACGCTAGTATAATGCTAGTATATAGGGCATAGAGTAATGACAAGTAAAAATCGCTTGTTATTACCACTAACAAGGCTCAAAATAGCCCCACACCAACACGACAGCATAACAAGGGTGCCTACATTCAAACCGAAGCATTGAGAACTTTGTCAGTGTCCATACAGTTTAATAAGAAGATATTTTATACACACAGTCAACTTCGTGAATACAGGAAGAAGCCATCTTTGAAAATTAGTCTCTACCAGTCGATCTAAGAACGCCGATCCATGTCCACCGGTGAGATGTGAATAAGGTGATAATGTGAGCGCGAACAGTTGGCTACGTGTACATATTGAAGAGAAGAAAACGGTTCGTGTTTGTGTTTCTTCCGAAAACAACGGACCATATAAGATTCTGCACAGTTCAGCGCACTTGGATCGGCGTTCTTAGATCGACTGGTAGAGACTAATTTTCAAAGATGGCTTCTTCCTGTATTCGCGAAGTTGACTGTGTGTATAAAATATCTTCTTATTAAACTCTATGGACACTGACAAAGTTCTCAATGCTTCGGTTTGAATGTAGGGACCTTTGTTATGCTGTCGTGTTGGTGTGGGGCTATTTTGAGCCTTGTTAGTGGTAATAACAAGCAATTTTTACTTGTCATTACTCTATGCCCTATATACTAGCATTATACTAGCACTATAGGCTAAACTGTTTTCAGAGATAAAACTATTTACATTCGGCAATCATGAAAACAAATCTCAGATAACAGTTGACTAGGTAGCAATGTGTAATTAGACCAAAGGTTCATTTTGCGCCGGAGTTGTCCTTTAAATCTGTATCTGTATTGCATTTTCAAACTTCAAACAAAAATCATTAAAATTAACAAGTTAATAGATGTTTTCTCTGGAAGTATGTTGGTTTGAGGTGAAAAAAGTTCACCTCAGTTGGTTTAGTTTGTCATTTGCTAAGTGATCGTAATAAATAAACACATAGGCTTACACAATCCCTTTCGTCCTATAGATGCATCCTACAGAATATTTCTATCGTTCCCAGGACAGCCCTGAAAAAATATGTCACTGTTCCTACATACGTACTACGTAGCTGCAATGCTATTAACAACAATTTGCAAAGTTAAACACAAAACAATAGGGGTGCACGATTCAGAAAATGTCACGATTCGATTCGATACCGATTTTTTGTCTCGAGATTCGATTCAAAATCGATTTTCGATTCAAAAACGATTCTCGATTCAAAAAACGATTCGCAGGTCTACATAAATGTAGTTTACTTTTTCCTATGTGATTGATTGCAGTAGACATAATTTAAAAGAAAAGTTTGATATTACTTTATATGTCTTCATACAAAAATAAAAACTTTTGCAACTAAAAAGTGCGAAGTGCCAAGCTTTGGCCAGCTTTTAAATACATTTAATTCAAGTTTAAAATAAAACTGGTAACACTTTACAATAAGGTTCATTATTTAACATTAGTTAATGTATTTACTAACATGCACCAACCATAAGCAATACATTTGTTACTGCATTTGTTCATCTTTGTTAATGTTAGTTCATGAAAATACAGCTGTTCATTGTTTGTTCATGTTAGTTCAGGGTGCATTAACTAATGTTAACAAGATTTTAATCAAGTATTAGTAAATGTTGAAAATAACATTAACAAAGATTAACAAATACTGTATATGTGCTATTCATTATTAGTTCATATTAACTAATGTAGTTAACTAATGTTAACTAACGAACCTTATTGTAAAGTGTTACCATAAAACTTAAATAAAAAGCTTTTACATTTAGCTTTAAAGTGCTATAGTCAGATCAAACAAACAATTATGCTAAATGTGGTTTAAGGAGTAGGCCTACTTCAGCTACCAGGTTGACTGTTGAAATGTGAACTCGACTAGGCACATTGAACTTCCTAAAAATATATACTAATTTCATAGAACCCTTGCGAAAATATTTTAAATAGATTTAAAAAAAGCCACCGCTACTGGTAACATCTATGGTTAGTCTAGATTGATTTGTTTACATCCAGTGAAGTCGTTCATAGGCGCGTAATTTGCGGGTATCTCCAGTTAACTAGCAGAGCATTCATTTAGTTCGCTATTAAATAAGAGACCTGTTGTTTTTGAAATCAAGCTGAGCGCTCGTGTCCGCTGCAATCAGTGTCATGGATACAGTGTTCTCTGTGGCTCACGCAGTCTTCTCTCGGACGCGCGCTTCAATCTATCGCCGTTGTGGAGACTCCGGTGAAATCACAAAATAAAATGCACACAAACGTGATGAACATATTCGGTTTTGATGAGAGAGAGAAAAAACTATACGAGTGCGGTTTAGAACCCGTCACCTCTGACACGCTTGGCAAAAGATCTACAGAACTCAAACAGATCTGCGGATCGATGCATTTATTTACGGGTTGAGCAGAGTGGCTGCACAGTTTGACCAGCGGGCGGCAAGAACTTGCAATGACTATTTATCAGACCGGCCCTCGCAGCCTCGAAACCATAGAAACACTACCGGACCACCGGTAAAAGTCCCGACTTACCCGATTGCCACTCCGCCCCTGCACGCCATTAAAAAATATAGCCTATGAATCGATTTTTGGAATTCTATGAATCGATTCTGAATCGGTAAAGATTGAATCGCGATTCAAATGTGAATCGATTTTTTTGCACACCCCTACAAAACAAATGTTTCTACAAAAGACTAGCACAATGATTTATCTACAATTTACCATGGTTAATGCATCTCTGGCCATGGCACGTTCTTTGCGGCCACCTCCACGGTCAGAGGCCGGGTTGAACCAGCGGATGGCGTGCTGGTTAATCTCGTTGTCCGATGCGCTGCTAGCAACTTGGTTCTTCCGTACAGCCTCTGTTAAGAGAGAAAGTCAATTGGTTGATGGGTACAAATTCTGAAAATTACCTCTAAGTCAAGCCAATAACCCACTGTTTTGAGAAAAGCTTTAGATGTTGCCCATATTTACTATTGTTGGTGTGGCAGAATACCTAATTTTGTGTAGACTTTCATTTAGTAACTCAAAACAAATGAATAACTAATCACAACTAGATTGTATTGGATCATCCTTAAATCAACCTTTTCAAGAGGAAGTGATTATGTGAGTAACAGTTCTGTCATGACTTCAATCTATTTCAGCACTGCTATCAAAGTATTTTTTTTGGCTTTAAAGTTGCATCCCTTATTATGCATTATTAGTAGTGTAAAACTAGTAAAATAAAAATTCTTACTAGTAACATTTGGAATAAATACTAGTATCTAATAAATATGTAATGAATAAGTACTAATATCTAATGAACAAGTACTAGTATCTATTTAATAGGTACTAGTATCTAAAAAATAAGTACTAGTACCTAATGAATAACTACTAGTATCTAATGTATATGTACTAGTCACAATTGGAATACATACTAGTCAGAACTGAATAGTTGATATCTGAATGACAGATCCCCATGGAAGTCAATGGCAACAAAAGTCACAATATTTAGTCACAAAAGAATAGTCAGTCACTATCGCAATAAGTACTAGTACCTAATGAATAAGTACTAGTATCTAATAAAAAAGAACTAGTATCTAAGTACTAGTATCTTTAAAAAAGGTTCTAGTACCTAAAGAATCAACACTAGTATCTAAAGAATGAACACTAGTATCTAAAGAATTACACTAGTAGCTATTGAATAAGTACTAGTACTTAATGAAATAGATACTAATATCTAAAAAATAAGTACTAGTAGCATGAAAATAGAGATTAGTAGGTTAAAATGATTAAATGTTAAGTGGCTTGCCATAACCCAAATAAATATCCAAATGAATCAGGCACTGCTCAACCATAATACCACGGCGGGATTTCATACAAAGTCAACGAAAAGAAACGGAGAGATGCGTTTTCCCGCCCATAGACCTTATATTTGTCATAATTTGACAGTGAACTTAGTAAACAATTAATTTACACCTATGAATTAACGTTAACTTATAATTAATGTCAGATGAAAATTCTAATTTCTTCTAGCTTTGATTTTTAATACTTTACCTATCATAACTTCATAATGTTGTGCTTTATTATAGCAGGATAAGGATTTAAAAAAAAAAAAGTCGGAAAAAAATACTTTAGTTAACTTACCCTATTAATCCGGGGCTCTCGCAGCCAGGGGTGAAGAAAATATCTAAAAAGGAAGACAGGTGCTGTTAATTAACGTTAGTGCTGTTCAAAACTACGTGTACAACATCATTGTAAGTTAACTAACGTTAAACAGCATTAATGTTTAAGCTAGCTACACACAAACTAGTTGTTTATTAATGCTAGCTTAGCCATCAGTTCATTCAGCTAACCCAGCTAAAAAGAGTACGTTACGTTAGCCAATCTTCTTCAATAGCCATCGTAAGAAGTTAAAACCCGGTCAAAACTTTCCGAAATGTTGATAACAAACATTACACCGCTATTAAAAACAAGCACACTAAACTGTTTGACTGTTTGATATCGTTCAACTTACCGTTATAAACTTTCCACGGAGCTTGCAGTCCGAAGATCCAAATGACCAACAGTTCACGCGCTCGTTCCAACGGCCCCGGGCCAGAACAACAACGATTCCGCCGACTGACTTCTGATCTGGAATGAACCGGTTAAAAAAAAAAAAAAAGGAAACAATTCGCGCGCTCGTTCCGACGAGTCCGGGCCAGAACTATTATGATTCCGCCGACTGATGGATGTTCACGCCTACTCCCGATGTACACAGACTACATGCGGGCCGTATCTGGAATGGGGCAGTAAAACGGGGGTGACTGTTACACGGATCTGCCGGTTTGGAGGCGGATCCGGCCCAGAGTCAGCTGCTATCTGGGTATTGTATATATACAGTACACTCACCTAAAGGATTATTAGGAACACCTGTTCAATTTCTCATGAATGCAATTATCTAATCAACCAATCACATGGCAGTTGCTTCAATGCATGTAGAGGTGTGGTCCTGGTCAAGACAATCTCCTAAACTCCAAACTGAATGTCAGAACGGGAAATTTTGAGTGTGGTATGGTTGTTGGTGCCAGACGGGCTGGTCTTAGTATTTCACAATCTGCTCAGTTACTGGGATTTTCATGCACCACCACTTTTAGGGTTTAAAAAGAATGGTGTGAAAAGGGAAAAACATCCAGTATGCGACAGTCTTGTGGGCGAAAATGCCTTGTTGATGCTAGAGGTCAGAGGAGAATGGGCCGACTGGTTCAAGCTGATAGAAGAGCAACTTTGACTGAAATAACCACTCGTTACAACCGAGGTATGCAGCAAAGCATTTGTGAAGGCACAACACACACAACCTTGAGGCGGATGGGCTACAACAGCAGAAGACCCCACCGGGTACCACTCATCTCCACTACAAATAGGAAAAAAAGGCTACAATTTGCAAGAGCTCACCAAAATTGGACAGTTGAAGACTGGAAAAATGTTGCCTGTTCTGATGAGTCTCGATTTCTGTTGAGACATTCAGATGGTAGAGTCCGAATTTGGCGTAAACAGAATGAGAACATGGATCCATCATGCCTTGTTACCACTGTGTAGGCTGGCGGTGGTGGTGTAATGGTGTGGGGGATGTTTTCTTGGCACACTTTAGGGCCCTTAGTGCCAATTGGGCATCGTTTAAATGCCATGGCCTATCTGAGCATTGTTTCTGACTATATCCATCCCTTTATGGCCATGATGTACCCATCCTCTGATGGCTACTTCCAGCAGGATAATGCACCATGTCACAAAGCTTGAATTATTTCAAACATGACAATGAGTTCACTGTACTAAAATGGCCCCCACAGTCACCAGATCTCTTGTTGAATCAATGCCACACAGAATTAAGGCAGTTCTGAAGGTGAAAGGGGGTCAAACACAGTATTAGTATGGTGTTCCTGATAATCCCTTAGGTGAGTGAATATATATATATATATATATATATATATATATATATATGTGTTGTTGAGTGTAACAATATACAGTAATATTGTTTATACTTATAGTATATACTTTACATCTAGGAAGAATTAGGAAGACTTTGCACGTCACATGTCACGGCAATCGAGAACTTTTGTAATTCTTCTAAATAAATATGAACTTTGAATGAGTTTTAAAGTGAAGGATGATTTTGTGTCACAATACTGCTGAGTTTGACTGGATGTGCAGTCTTTGACGTCAACAACAAAACTTTTAAAACTATGAATTTATTTTGCTATTACGCATGTATATGATCAGCTGCATTTAAAAATTTGCATTTAGCTGTGTTTTCCCCCCCATGCTGTCCACAATCCTATCAACCAACCTGCAACAGAGTTTTGAATTAAGATTTATTAATAAATTACTATTCAGTCGTTCTAGAAGAGATATCAGTGTGGCAACATCTGACCCTGATTTCCAGTGGCCCTTGACAGGCTTGTAACCAAACATACCCTGTGTGAGTTATGCCTGTATAACAGAATGGGAGGCAATCCATCCAACAGAGGTCAGGATTCACAGTGTTTGCCAAGGCGAACTAACTGCTTGCTGCCATTGGCTTCTGATTAAAGCAGGCGAAGGTCAGGCGAGGATACGGCCAAACGCGGATGCGAATGACTCAAGCATCAGAGACAGTGACACAGACCATTCAGAGAACACACTTCTTTATTTTTAGCAACTTCAAATACAGCGTACAAATCACTTTAATGCATAGCCTAGTGGGACGAATATAAATGGGGTGAATAAATATGGCAATTGTTAAAGGTGTATCTCGTCAATTTATCAGTGTAATGCAGAGATAATTGGCACTGCAACATAGCAGCATTTCTCATTTGATTGGTTGCAAACATACACTTCTTTGGTAATATTACCATGGTCTGTGTCAATTCTTAGACACCTAATTGTAGGGTGTTGTTAAGATTACGTATTAAACTAGCATTGGAATTATCTTCTGATTACATTACGATGGTAGGCCTACTGCTTTTTTGTAAGAGCAGTGCTGTTTTTAGCCGCAGGGGGGAGACAGAGATGTAGTCTGATCATTTACGGCCATCATACCGGTAACCGACTCTTTATCCGTGTAAAAGTATTTTTTATCTTTCAGTCGTTTTAAACGCACATTTAAAGAGATACAGTAGTATCCAAATACTGTCCAAATAATTATATTTTTAAAAAAGACATATTATTATTATTATTATTACATATTTTTTACTTGCATTACAATCTGCCAATCAAAAATAAGTTAGCCTATATGTATTAATTAGTGGGCTAATGTATGTAGGCTATAAGAGTATTACCTTTACCTGAACAATAAAATTGATGATATATTGCATTATCTGATATTATCAGATTACATATCATGACAATCAGGCTGTTATTGTGAGAAATGTTCTAACCTTCTCTCAATGCCTGACTGCTTTACTGTGTTTTCCCTTTACAACAGTATTAGCATTCCTCCCTGACTCCTTTAATCTGCACATTAATCCTGCATATCACACTGATGTAAACATGCTGGTACTCTCTAAATACTTACACACACTCACAGCTCTTTTGACTTTGGAGAGAGAGAGAGAGAGAGAGAGAGAGAGAGAGAGAGAGAGAGAGAGAGAGAGAGAGAGAGAGAGAGAGAGAGAGAGAGGCTGCAAAGAGAGAGAAAGAAAGAGAGAATGTGGCGGACTGTGTGGGTTGCAGCTGAAGAGGGTTTCTGGACTGTCCTGGACTGTATTTGAGTTAGGAGGAAGTGGAAGAGTATCAACTGTGTTCTACGACCTGCCATGTCTTAGAGCTAAAGAAAGCCAAGAAGAAAAAAAAAGGAAATAAATCAGACCTGGACCTTATCTGGGCCACAAAATCTGTATATTATATACTGAGTAATATCAACCTTAACAAGCTATAATCAGAATCACTGAAGGAAAGATAAGAACAGAAAAAAGAGATGAGCAACACAACTTCAACCAGCCACCGCCAACTACAAATAAAAGAACATTAATTCTCTGAAGTTCAGCAGCAGAGGATGACTAAACCACACCAAAAACAGCATTATAATTGACTTCAAACTTATTACCAACAGTTTGGCTTTATTTCTGTCATGCGTCTACAAAAGTTCTTATTGAGAACGAACGAAGGTTTAGCTTTAGATAATGTTATTGAGGTTAATTTGAAGACACCAGATTAGTGTTTGCTTTAGTTGGGTCCTTGAAGTTAATTCTCTTCCAACAATTGCAAGTGTTCTATTAAAGGCACTTGTATGTTGTTACAGAAATAGATATTGAAAGAAACAGGAGAGAGGCTGCAACCCAACAAACTCAACAAACAAACTTCTGTAATCGCATACTCTCTTGAGTAGATATTAACACATGACTGACAACCATATTCTGCTGCTGTGTCTGAACATGGCTTTTCTCCTTGTCAATCCTCATTTCCCTCATTCCCCTCAGCAGAGAGAGTCCCACCTGTGTTTGCAGCATGCCAATAGACTGTGAAAATGTATATTCTGTACTGCTCACCTCTGCCTGGGTTCAGAAACATTGAGGCAGGAGCACACTGAAAACAAGCGGGGCAAAATGAAGCGAGCCCTCTGGAGCTGCAAAATATCTGTCACTGCCAGCAGACGGGGTCGGCGCGGGGAATCGGACGGCTTGAGCAGAATGCTGATCCACCCCACTTGCATGCTTTCTCTCTAACTCGCTCTTCTGCTCTCTGCTCATGATGTTTAGAAAATGGCACCGTGCCGCGGTGGGGCCCTTAAATGTGCCCGGTGAAGAATGATGTCATTGATGGGTGCTGCTGAGAGAGAGAATGAGAACTCACCTTTATTTGACTTTAATGCTAACAAGGAACTAAAGCATAAAGATGCTGTGCACATTATGCACTTATACACTATGTAGCCTACTACTGTACTCAACCGTGTGGTGTATTCATTTTATAAGGTTATTTTGTCCTTGAACATCGGAGTCAAATAGCCCCTCCCTATGTAATTGAAGTTGCGACAAATGTGTGCATGGAGCGTCCAACATTCCATACTTCTCTTTTTCGGTTAATTAAGTGGATCATCCGGCTATTTAAAGTGCACTTTTTCTTTTTGGAATTTTCAGTGTGAACACACTCGCACTATTTATACTACACAGAATAATGCATAGTGCATTTTAATTACGCAAATTGGGATGTACCTTTTCCTTCAAATGATCATTCCACAGTAGACATATTCGGGACATCTCCCTGAATTTATGTTTTGCTGGTTGGGATGTCTGATCACCCATTTAAAAAACACATACACACGCACACACACACAAAAAACCTGAACAGCTAAAAGAGAATGCGACAGAGTCATAATAAAACAAGAATCAACACTGGCTTTGGCTTTTCGGAGATGGAACTGAGCGATTGAAATGAACGTGGAGGTGTTTGGTCGCTTCGCTGCTTGGCCGATATTGGGCTAGTTAAGTACGATCAAAGTGTCTCGCGCGCCAGAGTGATTGAGTGCACGCACTGAGACGACAGAGGTATGTATCAAGCCATCTTAGTTAAGGGAATAACATAGTTTAAAATGAAAAAAATGGTGGAGTATCCTTTTAACATATTTGAATTGTATTGAAAAGAGCTGCACTAAGCAGCACAGAATGATCTAAAAACAACTGAAGTGAAATTAAACTGAACTGAACACTGGTTAAGTTCCGTATCAATTACAAAGAATCACTACTGACCTATATAAAGCCCTGATAGGTTTAGCTCCTGTGTATTTAATGGACATTTTATCGACCAACAATCCATCGTGTTCTTTAAGGCTTCTGGTCATTCCTAGGATATCCAAGTCCACTAAAGGAGGGAGGGCGTTCTCACATTTAGTTCCAACCCGATCTCACGACCAA